GAATTTTTAATTTCTTCGAAGAGTTCCAATCGATTAATTATTGAGTTATGCAAAGTATTTAATTTTGCAAAACTAATAGCGGTTTCTATTTTTTCAAGTATTTCATATATTAAATTATACATTACATTCAATCGGTTTATGACTACATGGATTTGAAAATAGTCAAAATCGTTCGTTTGTTGTAATGCTATTTTCTCAACTGTTCTTTCGATTTGTAGCAATTTTGATTTGAGAATAATCTGGTTATGTGAGATATTAGTTATTGCATTATGAAACATATTGATTATCTTTTCTAATAATTTTATCTGGTAAATTGAATTGCAGGTGGTTTTCGGTGATATTTTGCTCGTTGGCAAATTTCACAATTGTTAATATATTTCGTAACATCTGATTTTAAAGATTTCCAATAATAATTATTTCTTAGGAATTTAGATGTCTCTTCGATGCCTTTATGATTTGTTTTTCCTTCATGTTTATAACGTTTTTCTGGTTTAACATTATTAATTAGTTTAGTACATTCAATTAGTTTACAGTTTTGTAAATGCTTTGTTAAAACCTTTTGCACAATAGGTAGTAATTCTTTAGACAAGAAGTGAACATATGTTTTCTTATTGTTTAGATGTTCCTTAAAGAATTTAGTTATAATAGTTTCATTTTCGGGAATTATTGCATTTATAATGTTATGACCATCAAAATTTTCGATATTATATTTCATATAAGTAGTAGGGTGCTTTCTTGAGAATTAATTGGTTTTGTCTGTTGTTGGTTATTTCGCCTAATATGGGAATTTCTTGTATTTGTATTTGTACTATTTATTGTTTTAAAACCTGTTCTTATAAGTTTGTTTTCGATAATAATTATTTTCCGATTGGATTCTTTTTCTATGTCTTCGACAGTTTTTGAAATATCTGACAAATTTAATTTATTGGGGTCAAATTTATCATCTAGAAATTTTTGAACATCGAAATTGATATCTCCAGGGTTATTAAATAAGGATTCGGTTTCTATTCAAAATAAATTGTTTTGAAAAGTCTGGATATTTTAGCATAGGGGCATTAATTAATAATTGTTTCAAATGATTAAAGGATGTAAGAAAAGCGGGGCTATATTCTAATTTAGCGTTTTTCTTTAAGATATCATTGGTTTTGTGATTTTAGCAAAATCTTTAATAAAATGGCGGTAATAAGCGGCTAGATTTAAAAATGACTGACTATATTCTTTTGTGCTTTTGCCTCGATTTTATCAGGATTTTGGCTAACACCTTCACTAGTAATTTTATGGCCTAAATAAGCAACTTCTTTATGGAGAAATTCTGATTTATTTAATTGGGTTTTAAAATTGGCTTGTCTTGGCCTTTTAAAAATTCGTCTTAAAGGTTCAATGTGTTCTTGTAGGGATGTAGAAAATATTATAATGTCGTTTAAATAAACTAAGCAAATTTCATTTTGAAAACCTCTAAGTACGTTATTCATTACTCTTTGAAAAGTGGAGGGTGATTTTTTTAAGCCAAAGGACATCCTTTTAAATTCATATAATCCGGTATCAGTGGAAAAAGCAAATATCTTCATGGTCCATTTCAATTTGGTGGAAACCATTCGCAAGGTCAAGAGTCGAGAAATATTGGGCTTTCCCTAATTTGTCTAAAATATCTGAAATGTTAGGTAACGGAAATTTATCATCGATAGTTTTTTCATTTAATTTTCTTTAATCAATAACAATACACCATTTGCATTTACCAGATGCGTCTGTCTTTTTGGGCACTATCCATATAGGGCTACTCCACGGGGAATTTGGCTTTATTAATTTCATGGTATCGATAATTTCGTGTGCAGATCGGAGTGTCGTTAGTTAAATTAATTTTGTGTTTAATTAAATTTGTAAATGATAACGGTATGCCTCTGCAATAAAATATATCCCTATATTCGTAACATAATTTTCGAATAGCGTCATAATCTTCCTTGTTACAGTGATTAAAACATAAGTGTTTAAGATTTTGTTTTTGGAGATTATCGAAATTAGGTGGGGCTAAATTTTCCGTATCTGTTTTATCAATAAAATTTACTTCATTTTCATTTATTAACTCAATATCTAAGGATTTACGAAATTGAATGGAAATAGGATTAGTAGACGAATAGTATGAGCAAATGATTCAATTATTTTTACTAATGCTTGTGGCATTTCTGCGCTCGCAAATTTTTCGTAGGGTAAAGTTCCTATACCTTGTTGTGTTGTCACTGGTATTTTAACCTTTTGTGAAGTTCTGGAGGGAATAATAATCTCGGGATACTAAATTTTTTTTATACGTTTTCATTATTATATATTTTTACAATATTGTGTTGCGTGTACAGTAGGTGTTTCTAGCGTAGAATCTAATATTTATTTTCATATGTATTTGTTTCAAGAGATCGACTCCAATGAGGCCCTCAAATTTTGGGGAAAAAATAAAAAGGTAAAATTTATGTACTTGATCAGGGCAATTAAATGACTGTAATAGTGGAATGGTCATTACCTCGCTATGTGCAGATACCGCATGTGCTGATTTTACAGTAAAATTTTCAAAGTCTATAAAATTTGGAAAATATTTGTACGCTATTTTTGGATTAATAAAGCTTTTTGAACGATCCGTGTCTAACAGAAGTGTCCGTCGATTTCTGGGAAATAAATTATATGCAAATCTTAGTGATTATAATTATTTAAGAATATAGAGGTGTTCTACTCTTTATAATTGTTTACGTTTGGTTTGTAATATTCGGGACTTTCTGAAAATTTTGGTTATATTCGTTAGAAGAATCATTTTCATTGACTTGTTGGTATTGATCATAAAGAGTTTCGAACGGATAATCGTTATATTCGAAGTCACATTGTGGATGATAATAAAAATATTCTGAGGTAATCGTATTCCGCATAGAGGTCAGAAAGATTTTCGTTAGGTTCTGAAGCTGAATTTAACGGACTTTGGTTACCATCTGGGTTATTCTCAGGAATTACTAATTGGTTATACAATTCTTTAGAAATAAAGTTTCTTGTATTTCCGGATGACGTATCCATGGATTCAGGTTTGTCTTGTTTTGGAATTGAGTTTTGATTAAATTGATTGAAATTTGGTCTCGGGGTAAAGCTGGATTTATATTAACCGGTGGTCTTTGAATAAAGGGTTAAGGTCTTGAATTTAAGTTATTTCTTTGAATAAACGGATTTGGACTTGTTTAAACAAATGGATTTAGTCGTTGTTGGATAAATTGATTCGGGCGTGTTTGAATGAATGGATTCGGCCTTCCAAATAGATTAGCTCGTGGTTGAATAAATTTATTGGTTCTCGTTTGGAAATTTTGTGAATTTCATATTGTGGGTTTTTGAAATTGAGGTGTCATAAAATTTGGTGTCGAAGGTGCATTAATGGGATGATGTTCTCGTAAAGGATTTTGTCTCATTTGTGTCGCAATAGGTACGGTCTTATTAGTAATGTTGATTCTGTCTTTATAGGCTAAGAAGTTCTCTTCTTCAAGAGAAAATGACATAGCTTGTTCTAGGAAAGTAGGGTTCCTTAAACGTACTACTAGTTGCATACCATTCGAGACCACTGATAAATGTTTTTAAAATTAAACCTTCAAACTTCAACTTCAAACAAATTTTTAAAGTTTTTAAATTAATGTCTTCATTTGAAGTGTGCGCCAGTTTTCGTTTTTGAAAACGAATTTTATTTTTTAAAAACTTCATTCAAGCGTGGTTTGCAACAAACTGGTCAAGAACTGTCTTGCAATTGTTCGTATACAAATATTCATATAAATCTTAATGCTGCCATAAGAATTATAAGAATCATTGGTAACATTATTGCCTAGAGGCTAACAAAGCAATGATAAAGCATAAGGGGATTTGTAACTGCGGCAGACATCACCCAGACGGAATTCCTTGTAGGTAGACTGGCGTGACGAGATGACGTAAACATTTTGTACAGTATGTGATCCGATTCGATGTTATTCCGTAAACAACCTTGAATGAAGTTGTGCTGCAATTAGTTACTGCCTATTGGGGCATAAGACGTTGCAATTAAATACATTTGGAGATTAAGATAAATTCTATGTGTTCTATGATTATTACTATGAATTATTATTATACATGTTACAATATGTTATTACAATATTACAATATATTAAAATATTTTAATTTCATAATTTACAATATTACAATATCTCCTTGACCCAGACACTCATATTTTAAAAATTAAAACTTGATTAATTTATGAAACTGTCAATTTGTAACAATTCAATCTTAATTAAAATTAGAAAATTAAATTAAATGAATAAACTAAACATATCGAGCAAACATGGAAGAATTGTCTAAAATACAGTTTTTTGGCTTCACTAGAAAATAATTACTTCAATTTTATATGCGTAAGAAGAAGGGTTATAAAATCCTGGTCCTAAATAAATTATTGATTGCTGATTATTTATGTATGTGTAAATGTATTTATGTGTTTGTGTTGAACCGGGTATTCATGCGTCCGTTGTTTGATCCTACAGTAGGATCGGTTGCCCGAATTTCATCTGGCATGTACTATTAAGTAACTCAGTAGAGTAAAATTATAACTATAGCGTGTCGTATTACTGTCAGCTTCTGAAAATGAATACAATAATAATAATAATAATAATAATAATACTTTTATTCAAATTTAAGTAGGTAATTTTGCAAATAAACGCAGAACAATTCATACATAAACATTTTTGTAAAATAAAAAAAATATTCAATAAAGATCGATTTTTTTTAAATACGATTAAAACCCATTTAAAGTTTTTATCCACCATAACTTTAAGTGTTTTATGAAATTCCCAGTCACCTATTTAGCTTTAGCTTATATTAAGGGATAATTTAGAAAAACAGGTAGATATTTTTAGACCATTTTTCATTTTCACCTACGTCCGGGATCTAACTTACGTAGTGTTTTTTTTTTTAATTTAAGTTTTTGTATTAGTACTGTAACGAAATTCTTTCTTCCTTTCCAGAAAATAAGGCACTACAAAGATAGATTTAAAAGGCAGCAAGGGGCACATCTATACCTACCCGAGAGCTACGTAACGGAAGGTGGAGAAGGTCCAGACCAAGGCCCGTGGTCCGATTGGTCGGAACCAAGTCCTTGTTCGAGGACCTGTGGCGGGGGCGTCAGTACGCAGTATCGACAATGTCAACCGGGTTACAACTGCCAAGGGCCTGACCGCAGACATTTTTCTTGTAACACGCAGGTGGCTATTTGTCTGCATTTGAAATGAATATGTGCCATAAAATAAGTGGAAATGCTTAGAGTAATTTTTTTTCTTTCGAAAAAATGAGATGTTTCAATAATTAATCATTAGTTATATTAATTAATTAATTCATTCATTCATTAACTATTGTATTCTCTAAAAATATATATTAGTTACCCAGTTTCTTAATGGGATAATAAAAATTTGCAATGACAGGACGGACAAATTAAAAGTTGGATAAATCGCAAAGTTCAGATAAATTTCAACGACAGGTTTTACACCCCGAATTGTTCCTAAATTTGCATACAATAGAAAGATGACTTTGGTGAAGTTTGGTAAATTAATGCAACGGAACAGCAGGTAGTTTGTTATATGAATAAATATAATAATAATTATAAATAATAATAATTGTTATAATGAATATAATAATAATTATACGCTATTATAATTATAGAAATGGACAGAAAATTGAGAAAATTATTTTATTATATTATCATCAAGTAAATAGAAACTTATATGAAAGTGAAAATAATACGGAAATAGGTAATAGGTAATTCTAATAAATATGAATGAGTGGTGATTGATGAAATTATTATTTAAAAAAAAAGTAAAACAACTTCATCTGTGGATTTTGGTCATCATGTTCAAATGGACGATAGTCGTTGGAATTCCAGAGAATTAATAATGGGCTATATAGTGTTTTCTAACATATTATCAGCTTCCCACATTCATTTTTCTATGTCATTATTCTCTTTTCCAAGAGGGTTTCGATGTTCCTCATTTTAAAAGTGGTGTCATACTTTGCTTAATTCACAGCGGTCTGGCGGAAGATCGATAGTTTGGTGGTTAGACACTTCTAGATATTTTTCGTAACTCTAAACTTACACTAAAAAGTCAGATGGAAAAATCTTTAAAAGTCATTTTTTGAAATAGAAACACCCAATTTACACCCGAGGTCGCCTATTTCAAAATGTTAAAGTATTCTTAATATCAGTAATAAAACGTTTTCCCATTGTTAAAATGCTAGACTGATATTCATTTGCCAAGATGATAGCGAAACATATCAGAAAGAAAAACAATCAAACAATACTGCTTATTTGTTTAATTTCATTGAATGGGCCAAATTTTATCCAAAAAATATTTTGATATTTGCTGAAAAATATTCAAATGAAAAAAATCTGCAAGAACAGTGTTTTTTCCTGAATGTTAAAAATAAAAAAAATATTTTGGAGTTATATTTAGTGCTTTATTGTTTTTGTCGGCATGCTTAGCCGTATTCAAAGTCACCCTTTTTTTAAATGCGTACTTGCATACAGTTTTTAAAAAATTAGGTTTTTTTCATTTAAATTTTTAATATTAGTGTTTTATCACTTATTTTTAGAATATCAAAACAGACCACTAACGTAGAACCTCCTCTTCCTCCGCTTTGAAGACATTAACCCCACGAATGCTTTCATTTGAAATCGGCAGCTATTTTTAGACGTGTTGACATCATTTTTGACATAAAATTCAAAATATTTCTGAAAAGGTATAGCATAAATCTGAAATACAATCTAGAAAGTTTGAAAGAATAAAGTTAGAAAGATTGTAGTTATGCACAATAATATAACATTCTAATATTCTACTAGAGATATAGAGATTGTGCACGTGCGCTAGATTTGAAATTTCCTTTTTAACTAATTTTGAATGCGGCATTTTTACTGCATTATTTTCTTAAAATATGGCTAGACCTCGTTAAAAAATGGAAAATGTTGCAAAGTGAAGGTTAGTGAGTGGAATTTAGAGACATGCGATGAAAATCATTCCCTTATCTACGAAAATATCAATACCGCCTGAAGCTTATCAATTTTTATCTTAGTAGGGCCACTATATTATCTAGTAATCTGAGTGAATCCAGACAATTTTTTTGATAATTTATACAGCTTCTGAGACAAGACATCAACTACTGTATTTAGGCTTTCCAAAAATATGCACTCCTTAGTGGAATTGAGGAATTAATTAATTAGGTATTATTATTTCATACTCGTACGGTAGTTCAATTAGACTTCTTATGATTTAATTATAAGAAAAGTCCAAAGCACATTTAAATCTATAATTGCTTTAACTTAGTCATGCAACTCTAAATAATTGCTGGTTCTTTCGTCATTTCTAAAAATTATTTCTTTAATCTTTATATAGACCTTGCTGCACATTGCTCCTGCAAAATTGTGAAAAATACAATGGATGGATACTTTTCCCACTAAACCTCGCAAAACTGTGGTTGCGCTACAACAGATATTACGTTTGTTTACAATATGTTTTTTCTTTGTTAACCGATTCACGCAAACCCCAACTCCCAGACTCCAATTCGGCTGGATTAGACGAAATAATAGATCAAAAATTTACAATAGTAACGTGAGTTTAGAAGCCGTAAATATTGCATTCAGTTTCTCGGGTCTCCTTTGGATCTGTTGATTTTTTTAAGTTGTGACGAAATGCAGTTCGGAATTTTTTGGAAATTACTGAGAGAGTACTAATTTACCTGTTCGTCTGTCATCGCTTGGTTCAACTTTAAACATTTTAAACTTTGCCGCGTAAATCGATCACAAAACAAACATTATTTGCCATTACTCAACGGGAAAGAGTAAATTTAAATACATCATGGTTATTATATTTTCTAGTTTATTTTGAGAAGCAGAATAATAGAGTCCGGCAGCAATTCAGTATAAAAACCAACGTAAAAAATGGTTTATTTTAACAGTAACATTTTAATTTCCAAATTGTTACTAAGAATAAAATCTAACCGACTAAAAATAACCAATTCAGGGTTAACGGCTCACATACTACACTACGGTTACGTTCGCGAAAGTTAAACAAACCATCAAAGCTGCACATTGGCGATTCACGAAGCACAACTGTAATCAACTTACACCACGTGCGTTGGAAGCCGATTCTTTTATTACTTTTAATATTGTAGAAGTCAATTATACACAGGCCCTCTTTCAAAGCTTAAATTTTATTCTGAATTTTTGTTTGTTTGTTTTATTTTTTTTATTTAACAATGACGAATTTGAAACTTATTTGGACATTGCCCCTAGAGGGCGCTAGTTTCACCATATTATTTAGATTAACCGCAAAACCGAATCATTTATCTTTTATCTGTCGAGTTATGGTTGAAACCTAACGAAAAACTAAAGGAATGTTCAATTTTTCATGGAAAAGCTATTCCTACTCGTTTAGGTCGTCTAACTCTCTTAGTGTTTAGGTAGGGAATAAAGTTTGTGTTCCAATCGTTATTCGAGTTTAATAAACGTTTCAGAATGGCTTTTGCCCAAGTGGAATGCAAATGTGGATAGCATTAAACTAGTTACTTAATGGAGGGTAATGTGTATGCCGTTAACCAAATCAAATTTGACCAATGTATTCGTTGACCTGAAAAATTTTTAGAGGAAGCGTGCATGACGTTCCAGTTTTCTTTTTCAAAGAATGGGACAAAGTTGGAGGCCAGTCTTAAATATATTTTTACTAGGGGACTGTGGCTACCCTTTAGTGGATTGGCTTATGACGCCCATTGAAGTAAACATACTTGAAGTAAGTGCTGCCTCCAACAGAACCCATAAAAAATAAGACAATTAGTTGAGAACAGTATCGGGATTTTTTCAATAACTCAGGAGACTGTTAACATCAACGTAGCTGATGAGTACATTCCTGGGAATAATGGGAGACAAAGGCAACATTAATTATTCAACTATTTTAGAAACAATCTAAATAATTATTCCAGTAGAGGCAAATTTCTAAATTAAATTTAGAGAAAAATGATGTGTTAATTTCATGAAGTTGTAGATTTGAAAATATTAGCTCTAAAACGTTTTCCATGGTAACATTATCAAGAGGTATTTAATTTTATTTGTGAGGTTAATATATAACAGAAATGCACTATGTTTTATGTGTACAGGTCTATTTAACATGTCTCAATAAGTACGACGGAAATGTTTTTGAGGAAAATGAACTTTTTCAATTTTTTGCTTAAAACAGGTCTAGGGAAAAATATGTTTTTTTTACACTTTTAACTGAAATTGGGAATTTTTATTATGTATCCATGAAAGTGGTTAATATTTAATGCTTTGACCTATCTATAGCGAAGATATAGTATACAGGGTGGCTGCAAATGACCATCAAAAAATATTTTTTCTAATTAAAAAAAAACAATTTTCCAAGTATGACGCCTTATATTTAGCATTTTTATTGGGTTTGGAATTTAATTCTGTATCATTTTATATGTATAGCTTTTAATACAAAAATTGATAGTTTAGAAGTTATGGCCAATTTTTTACAGTGTTTAAGAACGCTTATGAATATTACATAAGACGTCAGAGTCCAGCATTAGCCTTTTATCCTGCAGGACGGGTACCCACAAAACATATTTTTTTCACGAATTGTTCGTGGAGTGGTAGTCAATAATCGGAATCCAACAATTATCCTAACAGAAAAGAAGCATTTATAAGTTCTCCTGTATTTTGAAGAAAACGACAAAAATTCGCCATGAGCTGCATCGTGAGATCTACCGCGTATTAGTAAGACTAGTGTTCAAAGATCTTTAAAATTTAATAACTTCCATCCATTCAAATTTCTGCGAGATCAAAAATTATACCAACAGGACTTTCAAACAAGACTTATTTATTGTTGTCTTACTTTTGAGGGTGACATTTTTAAAACAATTCTATTAGGCAATTTTCAATACGGCCGGTATGTTCAACAGAAAAAATACTCATCACTGGTGAAACTCAAATGAAAATCGTGTAAAAATAATTAAGAAACGGGGTTGGAGAGGTATTTATATGTTGTGTGGCATCATACCTGTTCGAATAATAGGCCCAGGATTTTATAACTTTGTTCTGAATGGTGAGTGATATTTAAATTTGTTGGAGAACTATATATTCATTGATAATCTGAAGATATTAAAAAGGGATTGTTTTTCAACAACATAATGCACCATGTTACCGTAGTGCCTGTTAGAAATT